GGAGTTTCGCTCTTGTTACCCAGGCTGGAGTGCAATGGCGCGATCTCTGCTCACCGCAACCTCCGCCTCCTGGGTTCAGGCAATTCTCCTGCCTCAACCTCCTCAGTAGCTGGGATTACAGGCATGCGCCACCATGCCCAGCTAATGTTTTTTGCATTTTTAGTAGAGACGGGGTTTCACCATGTTGACCAGGATGGCCTCGATCTCTTGACCTCGCGATCCACCCGCATCGACCTCCCAAAGTGCTGGGATTACAGGCTTGAGCCACTGTGCCCGGCCATTTATTTATTTTCAAGACAGAATCTCACTCTGTCACCCAGGCTGGAGTGCAGTGGTACCATCTCAGCTCACTGCAACCTCCGCCCCAAGGGGTTCAAGTGATTCTGCTACCTCTGCCTCCCAAGTAGCTGGGATTATAAGCACCCGCTACCATGCCTGCTAATTTTTGTGTTATTAGTAGAGATGGGTTTCACCATGGTGGCCAGGCTGGTGTCGAACTCCTGACCGCAGGTGATCCACCCACCTCGGCCTCCCAAAGTGCTGGGATTAGAGGCATGAGCCACTGCGCCCAACCTAAATGGCCTTTTTAGAGATGCTTTTTGTACCCACTCTCCTACATAAAATACTATTCCCCTTGCCTACTCTGGGCACTCCTTTCCTTCCTTACTTTACTTTCTTCTTCCTTGTAGTTCTTAACACCTCTGATGTACTATGTATTTACTTTGTCAGTTTATTTTCTGTCTTCTCTAACTAGAAAATAAACTACCTGGTGCCTAAAACAAGGTCACACATGACGTATATGTCAAAGAAATATTAATTGAACAAATGAATAAACATTTCTCTCCACAAAAGGGAGAGACCTTATTAATTTTATTTAGCTCTGTTTTCCTTCACCTAACCTAGTGCATTGTGTGTGTGTCGGAATAATGAGTGATGCATGCCGTTAGGGAGATGCGGGTGCTGTGAGAGGAGGCTGGCCATTCGGGGCATGGAGAGGTTACTTGAGGGACTGATGAGGAAACATCTTTCATGGGCCTCCAGAATGTGAGAAAAAGGGAGAACTGGAAGGAGGATTCTGGTTGGTTCAGTCTGTGTTGGCATTTTTACAAGTTGTAAGGAAGCCAGGAATAGGAGGAAGAGGATCTGTTTGGGGTTAAAGGAAGGATAGTGGATGACTACAGTGTCCATTCAATAAGCATGTATGGATGTCTCTTAGGTTAGGTGCTTCCAGGCATTAGGAGGTGAAGCACACCCATCTTTGAAGTCTGGTCATGGGATTAGTTGGGCTGCCCTCTGTTTGGCACTATGTGGGTGGGGCATGGGGAAAGGGATCAGGTGAAATATAACTCCAGCCAAGGCCGAGAAACAGCCTTTCCCACAGGAAAAAGGGGGGAAAAGCCCAAGGTTTCTAGTGGGATGGACCTTTTGGCCTCAGAGGAGATGTGATTTCAGAAAAGCTTCGTAGGCGCTGGGACAAAGAAAGGCTTGGAGAATCTTCCACATCTTTAATATCCTATTCCTGACTTGCTTCCCTGTTTTCTTTCCTCCAGAACCTTTCAGCTGTTGGGGCATTGGTGAATCTCAGCAATGCACGTCTCAGTTCCATCAAAACTCGGTAAGTCTTTGGCCCTGTTTTTCCTCCATGGGCATGTTCCCTTAGGAAGTGGGCATGTGTACATCTTTTTTTTCCACTGTCATGACTCCCTGGATTTAATTCCTAAGAATGTGGAGAGTTTCATTCCTTTTGTGAGCTCACTTGATTTGAACCCTTTTCCAGTTCCCAGATGTCCTGTCCCCCCGGGGTTACCTCTGCACCCTTTCTTTGCTTCTCCCACCTCACTCCAAGAATTTCAGGAGTTAGAAACCGTGGTGATCTGGGGGTGAAGTCTTGCTATAGCTCAGTGAGAATAAAAGAGTCATCAGTAACTTTCTCTGAAGTCTAGCCTCCACCTACTTACCATGACTCTTCTTTCTCTGAAGGTTCGAGGGCCTATGTCTGCTGTCCCTGCTGGTAGGGGAGAGCCCCACAGAGCTATTTCAGCAGCACTGTGTGTCTTGGCTTCGGAGCATTCAGCAGGTGTTACAGGTGAGGATTCAGCTGCTGCCCCCCACTTCCTCCTCCCCCTTATGCTCCATCTTGGATGTGGTATATTCTTTCCAAATCGAACATTTAGTTCTGAGGACAGAATAATTGGAAACAGTTCCCTGATAGTGGCAAGGATAAGCTTCAAGTAGAAACTTTTTTTTTTTTTTTTTTTTGAGATGGAGTCTCACTCTTTCACCAGGCTGGAGTGCAGTGGCATGATCTTGGCTCACTACAACCTCTGCCTCCTGGGTTCAAGTGATTCTCCTGCCTCAGCCTCCTGAGTAGCTGGGATTACAGGCCCCTGCCACCACGTGCAGCTAATTTTTGTATTTTTGGTAGAGACTCAGTTTTGCCATGTTGGCCAGGCTGGTCTCAAATGCCTGACTTCAAGTGATCCACCTGCCTCAGCCTCCCAAAGTGCTGGGATTGCAGGTGTGAGCCACTGTGCCCCGCCTATATATATATATTTATTTCAGTAGTTTTGGGGGAACAAGTGGTGTTTGGTTACATGGATAAGTTCTCTAGTGGTGATTTCTGAGATTTTGGTCTATGTGCCTATTTTTATATCGAAATCTTGCTGTTTTCATAACTGTAGCCTTGAATATTTTGAAGTCAGGTAATGTGATGCCTCCAGATTTGTTCTTCTTGCTTTGGCTTTGTGGGATCTTTTTTGGTTCCATGTTATGAATTTTTGGATTGTTTTTTCTAGTTCTGTGAAGATTGATGGTGGCATTTTGGTAAGAATTGCATTGAATTTGTAGATTGCTTTTGGCAGCATGGTCATTTGCACAATATTGATTCTACCCATTTTTGAGCATGGGATGTGTTTCTGTTGTCTGTGATTTCTTTTAGCAGTGTTTTGTAGTTTTTCCTTGTAGAGGTCTTTCATCTCCTTGGTTAGGGATATTCCTAAGTATTTTATATTATTTTTTGCAGCTGTTGTAAAAGGGGTTGAGTTCTTGATTCCGTGCTCAGCTTGTTGCTGTTGGTGTATAACAGTGCTGCTGATGTGTGTACATAGATTTTGTATCCTGAAACTTTACTGGATTCATTTATTAGATCTAGGAGCTTTTTGGATGAGTCTTTAGGGTTTTCTAGGTATATGGTCATTATCATTGATGAATAAGGACAGTTTGACTTCCTCTTTACTGATTTACATGCCCTTTATTTCTTCTTTTTTTTCTTTTTAAGATGGAGTCTTTCACTCTGTTGCCCAGGCTGGAGTGCAGTGGCACAATCTTGGCTCACTGCAACCTCTGCCTCTCGGGTTAAAGCAATTCTCCTGCCTCAGCCTCCCAGGTAGCTGGGATTACAGGCACCTGCCATCCCTGCCTGGCTAACTTTTGTATTTTTAGTAGAGACCGGGTTTCACCGTGTTGGCCAGGCTGTTCTCGAACTCCTGACCTCAGGTGATCTGCCTGCCTTGTCCTCACCAAGTGCTAGGATAAAAGGCATAAGCCACTGCACCTGGCCTAGATGCTCTTTATTTCTTCTCTTGTCTGATTGCTCTGGCTAGGACTTCCAGTACTATGTTGAATAGAAGTGATGAAACTGGTCATCCTTGTCTTGTTCCAATTCTCAATGAGAATGCTTTCAGCTTTTTCCTCTTCATTCTGAGGTTGTGGGTTTGTCATACTTTGTTACTCTTTTAACCATTTTAATTTTTTCCCCTACTTTTATATCCTTTAATAAGACCTCTACATAGTTATTTAACAAGCATTTTCTGAACACAAATGGCAGGCTATGTACCAAGCTCTAGGGAGACAGTGAGATGTACATGGACCCTCTTTCATGGTGCTCAGCATCTAGCACTTTTTCTATGAAGTAAATGTTTACAGATAGGAAATGCTTTAGGCTTTTTGAGCCACATACAGTTTTTGTTGTATATTGTTTGGTTTCCAACCCTTTAAGATGTAAAAACTGTTCTTAGTTTGTGGGCCATGCAAAAACAGGCACCCATAGACCCATCATTTGCTGATCCCTGTTCTAGCTGAAGGCACTTTAATTGAATAATTACATAAGTGAAGGTGAACTGGTAAGCTGAGGTAGGTACTATAGAGGTAAGGACTATAGTTCTCTGAGAACATGTAACGGGAGAATCTGACCTCATTTGGGGTGGTGTGGATAGTAGTGATCAGGACCAGCAGTCTAGGGAGGGCTTTTCTGAACTGCTGAATAGGAGTTAATTGGGCTGAGTGTTCTAAGTGTGCAAAAGCCCTGAGAGGAGAGGAGTGTGGCCTGCTTGAGGAATCCCAGCATGTGTCTAGAATTGATAAGATGTGGCTGGGAAGATAGGGAGACTGGGGACCACTGAGTCATGTATGACCTTGTGGACCATGCTAAGGATTTTGGCTTTTATTCTTGGAGCAGTGGCAACTCACGGGAGGTTTTTTTTTTTTTTAAAAAAAAACGGAATGTTACTCTTGTTGCCCAGGCTGGAGGGCAGTGGGGAGATTTCAGCTCACTGCCTCCTCTGCCTCATACGTTCAAGGGATTCTCCTGCCTCAGCCTCCCAAGTAGCTGGAATTAAGTGCCCACCACCACGCCCTGCTCATTTTGTTATTTTTGGTAGAGATGGGGTTTTACCATGTTGGCTAGGCTGGTCTTGAACTCCTGACCTCAGGTGATCTACCTGCCTCAGCCTCCCAAAGTGCTGGGATTACAGGCATGAGCCACCGAGCCCAGTTCATGGAAGGTTTTAAGCAGGGATGAGGAGGTGGTGGTGGTGATTGAAAATATCTCTTTGCTGCAGGCGTGGTGGCTTATGCCTGTAATCCCAGCACTTTGGGAGGCTGAGGTGGGCCGATCACCTGAGGTCAGGAACTTGAGACCAGCCTGGCCAAAATGGTGAAACCCTGTCTCTACTAAAAATACAAAAATTAGCCGGGCATGGTGGCGGGTGCGTGTAATACTAGCTACTTGGGAGGCCGAGGTGGGAGAATCACTTGAACCTGGGAGGTGGAGGTTGCAGTGAGCCAAGACTGCACCACTGCTTTCCAGCCTGAGTGACAGAGCGAGATTCTGGCTGCCTTGTGGATAATAGATTAGAAAGGAACAGAATGGAAGCAGAAAGACCATGTAGATGGCTACTAAAGTAATCTAGGAGAACGTTCACAGTAGCATGGACTAGGGCAGTAGAACTGATAAGTGTATAGGTTTGAGAGAGATTTAGTGTCAGAGTGGCAGATGCTGATGATAGAGTAGCATCAAGTAGAACACATGGCCAGAATACCATGGCTATGGCCTTGAGCATTTGGTAGAAGCACCCTTAGTAAGCATCCACCTGATCTGGCATCAGTGGAAGTGGCCAGGCATTTCAGTGTAGGCCTGAGGGTTCAGTGAGTGGGGGCTTTAATTGTCCTTTTTTTTTTTTTTTTTTTTGAGATGGTGTCTAGCTCTTGTCCAGGCTGGAGTGCAGTGGCATGGTCTCGGCTCACTGCAACCTCAGCCTCCCAGGTTCAAGCGATTCTCCTGCCTCAGCCTCCCAAATAGCTGGGATTACAGGCGCCAATCACCACGCCTGGCTAATTTTTATATTTTTAGAAACAGGGTTTCACCATGTTGGCCAGGCTGATCTTGAACTCCTGGCCTCATGTGATCTGCCCACCTTGGCCTCACAGTGCTGGGATTACAGGTATGAGCCACTGAGCCCCGCCGTTTTTTTATTCTTTTTTAGACAGGGTCTCATCATGTTCCCTAGGCTGGAATGTAGTGATGTGATCCTGGCTCACTGCAGCCTTGACCTTTCGTGCTCACATCAGTCCCCCCACCATGCCCCCAACTAGCTGCGACTATAGGCACGCACCCCCATGCCCTGCTAATTTAAAACAACTTTTTGTACAGATGAGGTCTTACTATATTGCCCAGGCTGGTCTCAAACTCCTGGAATCAAGCAATCCTCCCTGACATTGCAGATGTCAGCCACCGTGCCTGGCCTGGCATATTTTACTAGGGGAAGAGTCTTCAGTGTTTAAATGGCAGCTGAAGCTGAGGATGAGTTTATAAAAATGAGCCCTTTTATGGACTGGATTTTAATGCACACCACACTTAATGGTCAGGTAGAGGAAGATGAACTTAAAAAGGAGACTGAGACAGACCAACAGAAAGAAGATAACCAGGACTGTGGGCTGGAGGGGCCAAGTGAAGACTACTTGAGGGAAGAGGGAGGAGTTGTTTCTGCGTGTGCCTCCCCGAGGTGGAACAAGATGCAGACTGCGAATTGTTGATAAGATTAGCAACATGGGTTGTAAGACCATAGTGAAAGTGGTTTTGCTGGAGCAGAGGACACGGAAGCCAGACTGGTGTGGGATGAGAAGCAAGTGGGAGAAGGGAAATGGAAGTAGAGAAGATAGGAAATCCTTTCAATATGCTGGGCTCTAATGATGAGGGAGAGAAATTGGGCAATTACTGGGATTTAGCAAGTGAAGTATGGGGTCAAGAAAAGACTTGTTATATGGGAAAGACTTGAGCTATATAAATGTCAGTGGAAAGAGTCTGTGTGATAGGTACTGGTTGGAAATTCAGGAGAGAGAAAGCTAGTGAGTTTGTAAGGTTCTAAGAGTAAGGAGGGGACAGTACTTAAGGCACAGTGGAGGGACAGTCTTTGGGTAGGAGGAGGGCAGCAGAGGGTGGATAGGATGTAGATGAAGTTTTGAGATTTGGGAGTGGAAATTGAAGGCTGTTTTATTAGGTTGGTGTAAAAGTAATTGCAGTTTTTACAGTTATTTTTAATTATCTCTGGGCTTCACCTTTCTCTGTATAGTTATAGGCAAGGCTAAACACAGGCGACAGTGGTGGGAGAAGCTGCGATTTGGAGATTTGAGGAGAAAATTTAAGTAGCAGAGTTAACTAGAGAAAAATGCAGTAGGATACTGGACAATGATGAGGGCCTATGTATACTTGGTAGGCCTGCCTCATAAGTAGTTTTGCTCTATAAGTATTCTCTCTTTTTTTTTTTTTGACACATGACCTCCTCTGCTTTTTCCTTAGTTACATGTTAGTTTTCTAAGGAAGTCCTTTTAAATCCAAATCGTTTTTTTCTCCGTAAGTTCCAGCATGGGTTTGAGCCAGCTAGTAACAACCTTGAAGAGATGGGGTAGTTTCATTATGGCTGAGACTTTTTTTTTCAGCCTGAAAAGTGCTCTTCTCCCATTCTAGCAGGGAATGATAGTATGAGATCATCAGAAAATCCTTCCAGGGTTGCAGTGAGCTGAGATCGTGCCACTGCACTCCAGACTGGCTGACAGAGTGAGACCCTGTCTCAAACAAAGAAAAAGGCCGGGTACTGGGCACTGTGGGTTAACGCCTGTAATCCTAGCACTTTGGGAGGCTGAGGCAGGTGGATTACTTGAGGCCCAGAGTTCAAGACCAGCCTGGCTAATATGGCAAAACCTGTCTCTACTAAAAATAAGAAAATTGGCCAGGCATCATGGCCCACACCTATAATCCCAGCTACTCTGGAGGCTGAGGCAGGAAAATTGCTTGAACCCAGGAGTCAGAGGTTGCAGTGAGCTGAGATTGTACCCCTGCACTCCAGCCTGGGAGACAGAGCACGACTCTGTCTCAAAAAAAAGAAAATTCTCCAGTTAACAGGTCTTTAAGGTATAGCTTTGTTATTCTTTTTTCCCCACACAAATTCTTAGGACCCTAGATCCCCTTAATAGTAAAATGTAAATACACGTCCTTTCTGTAGACAGAGACGCTACTCTGGGATACTCCATGTCTCCATGCCCTCTTTTCCTCCAGTAGTAGCTTGGATGGTCATACTGACATTAACTGTGGCGTTTCTAGAAACCTTGTTTTGCTGTGCCTCCTGCTGCTCCTTGGTGACAATCAAGGTGAGGCTGGAAGCATGACATGTGTTTTCTTTAGTCCCAGGACCCGCCTCCCACAATGGAGCTGGCCGTGGCTGTCCTGAGGGACCTCCTCCGCTATGCAGCCCAGCTGCCTGCACTGTTCCGAGACATCTCCATGAACCACCTCCCTGGCCTTCTCACTTCCCTGCTGGGCCTCAGGCCAGAGGTAAGACCATCGTCCCCTGCAGTCCTCACCTTCACTCACTGTTTAATTGTCTGATGGAAGTGGCTGGGGAATAGAATTGAAGAAGTGAGAAGAGGGAAGGGCCAAGAAAAAGTGATGTCTGGAGAAGGTCCCTTCCACGGTATGGGGGGAGGAGATGGAATATGGCGACATTGTGCTCTTGGCCTCTCGTTTCTCCCTTTACTTTTCCTATAGTGTGAGCAGTCAGCACTGGAAGGAATGAAGGCTTGTATGACATATTTCCCTCGGGCTTGTGGTTCTCTCAAAGTAAGTATTAATGCACTCTCCCCACCAATGTAAGCCTTGAGAGCTCTTACCTCAGATTCCCGTCCTGAGATTCCTAAGCACCTATCTTCTGATTATCCTTCTAAAGTTACTTATCTCCACTACTACACTTCTACCACTTTATAGCACTTGACTCATTTAATCCTCATTTTTTCAAAGAAATTGGACTCGTGAACCTTGCCTAAGATCATCAGGCATTGGAACCTGTATCTGTTTGATGCCAAAGCCAGGCTGTGAACCATGGGCCCTTTCCTTTTTCTGCCTCGCCTTTTCCGTATCTCTTAGAATGCGCTGCCCACTTTTCTACCATCCTATCTTTTTTTTGAGACAGGGTCTCGCTCCGTTGCCCAGTCTGGGGTACAATGGCCACACTTGGCTCACTGTAGCGTTGACCTCCTGGGGTCAAGCAGTTCTCCCACCTTAGCCTCCCAAGTAGCTGGGACTACGGCGTTTGCTACCATTCCCAGCTAATTATTAAATTATTTGGAGAGATGGGGGTCACTGTGTTATCCAGGCTGGTCTTGAACTCCTAACCTCAAGTGATCCTCCTGCCTCAGCTTCCCAAAGTGCTGGTATTATAGGTGTGAGCCACTATGCCTGGCCCCCTTTCTATCTTACTTTATTCTTTTTTATTTTTTAAATTTTTAACCTTCAGCCAACTTACATCATATTTTATTTACTTATTTATTTATTTATTTATTTTTGAGACAGAGTCTCACTGTTGCCAGGCTGGAGTACAGTGGCGTGATCTTGGCTCACTGCAACCTTTGCCTCCCAGGTTCAAGTGATTCTTCTGCTTCAGCCTCTCCAGTAGTTGGGGATAGAGTCGTGCTCCATCACATCCAGCTAATTTTTTTATTTTTAGTAGAGATGCGGTTTCACCATGTTGGCCAGGATGGTCTCAATCTCTTGACCTCATGGTCCACCCACCTCGACCTCCCAAAGTGCTGGGATTACGGGTGTGAGCCACTGTGCCTGGCCATTTTATTCTTTTTTTATTTTGAGACAGGGTCTCTGTCGCCCAGACTGGGGTGCAGTGGCGTGATCTTGGCTCACTACAAGCTCCACCTCCCAGGTTCAAGTGATTCTTGTGCCTCTGCCTCTGAGTAGCTGGGATTACAGATGTGTGCCACCATGCCCAGCTAATTTTTGTAATTTTAGTAGAAACAGGGTATTGCCATGTTGGCCAGGCTGGTCTTGAACTCCTGGCCTCATGTGATCCACCTGCCTCAGCCTCCTAAAGTGCTGGGATTATAGGCATGAGCCAGCTGCGTTTCTGGCCTTCACTTTATTCTTGAAGCTCTTGTAATTTTCTCCGGGAATGCTTCCTGACCAATCACTTCCCTAGGACAACTCCCCCAACATCTCTTTCTGCATATATTCCTGTTTGAACTCCCTCTGTCACTTCCTGATACCTTTTTCCAAGTTGTCATGACACATATAACGAGACTGTACAACAGAGGTTCAGGAGGTCGGATAGGCAGGTCAGAGTGTATGTGTGTCAGATGATGGAGTAGGTCAGGAAAAGAATTACAGTTGTTAATTAAGGAGATACAATAATAAACATGAATGGTTTACAAATTCTACCAAAGCAGTAACAGTTAAAGAGCCATTTGTAATTGGTACATTTGTTGTTTGCAGTATAATCGGATGCCAACTATACCTAAGAACAAGTAGGTGTCCCCCTGTAGATTAAATGTTTTCCCTTATTTTGTTACATTCACCATTGGTTTGACAAACCGCTGGACACCTGCTTACTCAGATGGAAGCACAAATCTCTAGAGAGCTGGAATTTGTAGCAAATTAGTACTTTTTTTTGTTTAACTGGTGGAGTTAACTGTTTTGGCCATTGGTATTGCCAGTCAAGGGGCAGTTTGCCATTCAGGTTGCCTTGAAAGTGAGATTATGTGGTTCTGTGACCAACACAAGAAAGTAAGCTCTGAAAAGAACTGGTCTTTGGTGGGTGCCACTGTGCCAGTCACTGTCCTGAGTGTCTAAGGTATGTTGTCTCATTTTATCATTTTAATTATTCTGTGCAGTTGGTATCGTTGCATTCTACAGAGGATAAGTCCAGCTGAGAGGGACTTAGTGATGTAACCCTAGGTTATATTATCTGGTAATTGTAAAACCAGGGCAGATAGCAGCTCTGATCAGTCGTTAATGGCTGTGTAGCTCACTGGCCTGGGAAGGACCATGAATCAGAGTTCTGCCGGCATGAGCGCTGTGATCAGGCAGTGGTGCCTGCAGCGGCCTAAGTAACTGGTTACTTGAGGTGTCTGAAAAGTGCCTGAGCAGATGCTAGTTCTAAGTGAGCATGGGGTTGTGTCCTTGCTGGTTCCTGTTTTCATGTGAATGCCACTAATCACAGGTAATAGAATCTTTGGGTAGGCAGGGCTGGACTTTTTGTCAAGGAGGTATTTGGAGTGACTCAGGGATTTTATTAAAGATGAGCAGAGGTTTTTTACTGAGGTTTTGCTAGGTTTCGTAAAAACTGGTTATCTTGTCAAATGTCCTGTAAGTTAACCTCTCAAATGACACAGGCCAGCACTTTGTTCTTGAACAAAAGATTGGTTTTACTGTAAAAGTGTATTTTGATTCAGTTCTGTTTGGTGTTATCTTTATATACCTGCATCCCCTCATGAAAGTGGAGGGGAAACTGAGGGTCACCTACAGGGTGGAATTATGAATTGTAATAGTTAAAGAGACTCAAATGTTAAGTGTTCTGCTGTTGCCTCTTTATTTTCAGTGTGAGTAGTCAGGAGAATTTATCTACAATTCACAACCTTTTGTCAATTGAACTTAAGGCCTGCATTTTGAGTACCCTTTCCAAACCAGCAGATGTTCCTGTGTCCTTCCAGCAAGTGTCTACCTTTATTTCCCTAAGAATAAAGTATCATCTGCCAGGAGTTTGAGACCAGCCTGCCCAACATGGTGAAACCCCGCCTCAACCAAAAATACAAAAAAATTAGCCTAGTGGGGTGGTGCATGCCTGTGGTTCCAGCTACTTGGAACACTGAGGCGGGAGATCTCTTGAAGCTGGGAGGTGGAGGTTGCAGTGAGCCGAGATCATGCCACTGCACGCTAGCCTGGGTGACAGAGTGAGACTCTGTCTCAAAAAAAAAAAAAAAAAAAAAAATCATTTGGAGAACTTCCCTCTGTTGAGGGTTTTGGCTTTGTCTGTGGCCTACACCTCAGATAAGTATCTTTTATGCAAACGCTCCAGGGGCAGTTTGTACTTGGGAAATCCTGTAGACTAGTTCTTAGGAAAACGGAGAATTGCTGTTTTAAAGTGTGTGTTTTTCATCTCATTCCCTAGATGCTCCGGGGTAATTGCTGACTCCAGTCAGGATTACTCCTCCCAAGTGATGTGAATCAAGGAATTGTCCTTGAGGTCAATTCCTGCAGAGACTTCAACTCACTTCCCCCTCCTTGCCAAATTGATTAGTAGTTCCTCGGAATGAATGGGAAGATATACCCCACTCTCGAGAGATACAGCCAGGACATGTTTGTGTGTGTATGTGTGTGTGTGTGTGTGTGTGCGTGCGCGCACGTGTGCGCGTTTTGAGTGAGCTGTCTCAAGTGAGCCATCGCTTTGGTTTGCTTTGTGGGTCAGCCAGGGTAGACCATGTCACTTCACTCTGCACTGCTTTATTGCGGTCACGTAAGCAGCCTGCTGTTGGCCTTAGCCCAGCTTTTTGAGCCAGTGTCTCAGGGAAAGCGTGAGCAGAAGTTGGCCAAAAGAGCTGAGTGCCACTATAGTTAGGGATTCAGCAGCTTTCTAAGAACTGTCGTCCTTGGAGAAGCCAGTGAATCAGGAGGCCTTGAGTGGTTACTCTTCTTTGGTTTGAAATATTCTGAAATTCTAGCATATCAGACATATAAGTCCTTTCCATGTTCTAAGGGAAATTGTTCTAGGTCATCTGCCTGGGATTAGTTAGAACCATAATTGTTTCATGGTCAGTAAGAATCCTGAAGTGTAACGTGGGAAACTGAATGCCGTTCCTGCCATGGGGTAGAAAGGAGGAAGTCCTGGAGGGTTGGTTTGTTTGTGAACTACACACTGACAAGCTTCCTTCTGCTCCTTGTTTCCCCTAAGTCTCCTGCCGTGTGTGTGCTGGGTGCCACTGCTCATTTGTTTTCCAGTTCACGTTTGTGCATGTGATTCCCCTGCTGCCTGGATAGATTCATACTCACTAGCCTTGGATTTAAAGCCTTGGTCTGTTTCTCCATTGGCATCTTCTGATTCTGGCACTCTGCTTGGTGCTTCTCCCTCCCTGTTCTTTTTCTTTTTTGTTTTTTTTTTTGTTTGTTTTTTAAAGATGAGGTTTCACCATATTGGTCAGGCTGGTCTCAAACTCCTGACCTCAGGTGATCCACCCACCTCAGCCTCTGAAAGTGCTGGGATTATAGGCGTGAGGCACCGTGCCCGGCTTCTCCCTCCCTGTTCTTATTACCTGAACTCTCCCCTTTCTTCTAAGCCCAGCTTGGTCCCACCCTGTTCCCTCTTTATCTGCTCTTTCCCCTTCTCTGTATGTTGCCAGTGTTGCTCCAGATTCTTGTTTTTCCATACGATTATCTTGTTGTCCTTACTAATTCTTTTTTTTTTTTTTTTTTTTTCCCCCGAGATGGAGTTTCACTCTGTCACCCAGGCTGGAATGCAGTGGTGCGATCTTGGCTCACTGCAACCTCTGCCTCCTGGGTTCAAGCAGTTCTCCTGCCTCAGCCTCCCAAGTAGCTAGGATTACAGGCGCACACCACCACGCCCTGCTAATTTTTATATTTTTAGTAGAGACAGCCTTTTACCATGTTGGCCAGGCTGTTCTCAAACTCCTGACCTCGTGATCCACCCGCCTTGGCCTCCCAAAGTGCTGGGATTACACGTGTGAGCCACCGCTCCTGGCCTTTCCTTACTAATTCTTATGTCCCTCAGAAGGTGGAAGTCCTGTTTTCTTCCTGTCTGTACCTGTAGTGCAGTGTTCTTATTTTTGTGCTGTGGATCCCTTCTGAAAATAATGTTCTTAAATTTATAAAATAAAATGCATGAGTTACAAGGGAAACTGGTTGTGTTGAAATGTAGTTATCAAAATGGTTGTTAAGAATTGTGATAAGAGTAGTGTGTACTTTTTTTTTTTTTTTTGAGAGAGGGTCCTCTTTCTCATCCCCAGGCTGGAGTACACCGACTGGTGTGATCTCAGTTCCAGGCTTGTGCGGTCCTCCCACCTCAGCCTCCCAAGTAGCTGGGACTACAGGCATGCACCACCATTCCTGGCTAAGTTTTTGTATTTTTAGTAGAGATGGGGTTTTGCTGTGTTGCCCAGACTAGTCTCAAACTCCTGGGCTCAAGTGATCTGTCAGCGTTGGCCTACTAAAGTGCTGGGATTACAGGCGTGAGCCACTGCGCCCAGCCTGTGCTTTTTTATTGACATGTTAAGTAATAAGATCTAGAAGCAGGTCTTACAATGACTATAATTGCAAATTAGTGATGCATGTAAATGATATTTCAGGATGTGTTACAATTATCATGTGAAATGAAAATGATTCTATTAGAGACGGTCACAGGTCCTGCTGATACTACTGTGGCTATTTGTCTGCATCTATAGGTGAAGGAAACACTACATTTTACAAATAGGTTAGTGAAAATAATGGTGTCATTTTGTTTCACATCTATGTTCACAGGCCCCTTTGATTGTATACCCAAATACATTGTGGTTCTTAACGTTAAACAGTCCTGCCCCAGCATGTTCACACAGCAGGCAGGGAAGGCGCTGAATGATAGGTTGCTGCTCTGAGACTTGCTGCCTCACTTCTGCTCTCCCACCCTTCTCTTTTGACATTGTCCTGCCCTCGTCCCTGCGAGTAGTGTCTTAACTCCCAGCTTGGACCCTCGTTTTTGTGTGTTAGCTGGTAGAGAGTTGGAGTGTGGAGATTGGTTTTTAGTACTATGTCCTTTTGGCTTGAGGGAGATGACCCATCATTTTGTAAAAACTCAAGAGGAAGCCCAGCTGTCTGTGGGACAGGGGCCAGATCCTTTCCCCTCAAGCAGGAAGCTGAGGACCAGAGCTAGCATTGAGGAGTCTTTCTACCATGAAAGCATGTCTGTGCCAGGTGTTGATGCCCCATAGAGGGCTTTGCTTCTTGTGTCTACAGGAAAGAAAAAGACCTGGGCTTAGAGTCTGCTGCTGGGAATGGACGGGGTATACATCTCTGGCTCACCAGCCTCTTCTTTTTTTTCTCCACATCCAGGGCAAGCTGGCCTCATTTTTTCTGTCTAGGGTGGATGCCTTGAGCCCACAGCTCCAACAGGTAAAGGGCAGGGCAGGACATGGAGAGCCCGGGGATCTGAGCCTGGAGTATCTCTTGCTGTTCCTCCTCAGCTTTTCTGTGTTAACTGCTTTGGGACCATGTTTCCACTTCCCTCCCTGTTAATACATGCAAGTCCCCACTCTTGCCTTCAGTTGTCCACCTGGGTCCTTCAGCCTCATTGTCCCATCTCAGGCTTCCCTCTCTTTGATCTCCATCTCTTTTTGGGCGTTAATGGGGCTGGGTATTCTGTGGCTGGGCTGGATTCCCATCTGACCAGGTTTCTGCCCTTTCTCCTGCAGTTGGCCTGTGAGTGTTATTCCAGGCTGCCCTCTTTAGGGGCTGGCTTTTCCCAAGGCCTGAAGCACACCGAGAGCTGGGAGCAGGAGCTGCACAGTCTGCTGGCCTCGCTGCACACCCTGCTGGGGGCCCTGTACGAGGGAGCAGAGACCGGTAGGGACCATGGCTGGTAGTTAGTGGAACAGTGGTGAGGAAGCTTGGCAGGAAGGAAAAGGAGGCAAGCCCAGAGACATGGGGCAGTTGGTTTTTGGGGAAAATGGGTTAGAATACAGGCAGATTGTCTGCTAGAAATGACAGAGGAGGGGATGGGAAGAAAGAGAGTGTACATGGTAGTCATGCATCTGCCCAGCTCCCGTGCAGAATGAAGGCCCTGGAGTGGAGATGTTGCTGTCCTCAGAAGATGGTGATGCCCATGTCCTTCTCCGGCTTCGGCAGAGGTTTTCGGGACTGGCCCGCTGCCTAGGACTCATGCTCAGGTGTGTGTGGGTGTTGGAGGGAGCAGAGGTGTGTACCTGGAGGGGTCGATGAGGGAGTGTTGTTGCCTTCATCATGAGAAAGGAAATGGAGATGGGTATGGGAGTCATGCCAGGGAACCTGCTCTGAGGGTCTCCCTGCTCTGATTCTCTTTAGCTCTGAGTTTGGGGCTCCTGTGTCCGTCCCTGTGCAGGAAATACTGGATTTCATCTGCCGGACCCTCAGCGTCAGTAGCAAGAATATTGTAAGTGAGATTTGTCACCTCTTCACTGTCCTTGCTCAGGACACCAGGCAACAAGGAAAGCACTGGGGACCTGAAGTTCCCCAAACAGTGTCATCCTGGAGTCGTCCCAGGCAGCTTCCTACTTCTGTCCAAATACCATCACTCCCTGTGTGTCCCGACACAGGTGCTTGCCGTCAGAGTGTAGCAGATGCTTCCTTGGGGAGGGTGAATTTGGGGATCAGCTGAGTCATTGCTGAGAGGCCCAGCCATCCTTCTTGCCTTCCATCCAGGGTCTATTTTAGAGGATGGGGGTTTGATTTTGTTTGGAGAGCTGAGATCAGGGGATAGATTTCTTACCTATGTGTACATTGGTAAATAGTCTGTCCCCGTTTCTGGCTCTCTCTGGCTCTCACTTTCTTCCCCCACTCCTTATCTTTGCTACTTTTTTCTCCAGAGCTTGCATGGAGATGGTCCCCTGCGGCTGTTGCTGCTGCCCTCTATCCACTTGGAGGCCTTGGACCTGCTCTCTGCACTCATCCTCGCGTGAGTGTGATTGGGCAGGGTGTGGTGAAGGGCTGGGGCATGCCAGAAACAAGGTCACCATTCCTTCTGTACGCCAGGTGTGGAAGCCGGCTCTTGCGCTTTGGGATCCTGATCAGCCGCCTGCTTCCCCAGATCCTCAATTCCTGGAGCATCGGTAGGGATTCCCTCTCTCCAGGCCAGGAGAGGCCTTACAGGTGACCATCCAGGAAGAGAATAAAGAGGAGAGCGGGTGAGGGGGTGCAGGTGGGCTGGCTTCTGTCATATTGATTCTCCATTCATAACTGCCCTCTTTGCTCATGACACAGCACGGTTCGGACCAAGGTGTATGCTGTGTTAGAGCTGTGGGTGCAGGTTTGTGGGGCCTCGGCGGGGGTGCTTCAAGGAGGAGCCTCTGGAGAGGCCCTGCTCACCCACCTGCTCAGTGACATCTCTCCGCCAGCTGATGCCCTTAAGGTGAGTGAGGCCTCGGTTCTGTCCTAGGACTCATTCTGTGCCCTTTGACCAAGTGTACCTGCTCAGCAAACACTGTCTGCTGTGGCTGTCCTGCCTTCTTGTTTGCCCGTGGATGTGATTTATGTTTTCCTCTGCCACCAGCTGCGTAGCCCGAGGGGAAGCCCTGATGGAGGTTTGCAAACTGGGAAGCCCAGTGCCCCCAAGAAGCTAAAGCTGGATGTGGGGGAAGCTATGGCCCCGCCAAGCCACCGGAAAGGGGATAGCAATGCCAACAGCGATGTGTGTGCAGCTGCACTCAGAGGTGGGCGAGGCCTGTGCCCTGGACCACGGGGGCTCTGGGATGGCCTGAGTGATAGCCCAAACAGTTGGTGAAGTGGAAGGTGCTTATAAAATGCAGAGCCAGGCAGAAGCCTGCAGAGAGGCTGGGAGAATGAGCAAAAGCAGCCACACCATTGCCACTGCTGCAGGTGGACTTGGGTCCTACCGTTAGACCGGGAGCTCTGGTAGCCCTGACCCTCCAGGGCCTCAGCTTTCTCATTCATTCATTTTCATATCCACTTTATATTCTGGTAGAGTTCTAGCACTGGGGAAAGTTTCTCCCTGTGACACTTACATTCTCCCCAGGGCGGGCTGCCTGGTGGAGCTCCCTGCTCTCATTGTAACCACTGATCTGTCAACTGAGGTTACTAGACAAGACACTGTGCAGTTAATGGATGACTTTCCTTTGGGTCCCATATATTTCACTGCCTGTCACCCCATCCCATGGGAAGGGGAGAGCCAATTGTCCCCAAATATATAAATGCCAAATTAGATAATTTATAATTTTTTGACTTACATTGTCTCAATTACTGTCAGTGGCCCTATCCAGTAGAGGTACTTTTATGATCTGCATTTTAGAGCTGGGAAAGCAAACTTAGAGAAGTTAAATGACTTGCCCAAGTTAGGCAGTGGCGAGTTGGTGTCCACCTTGGGCTGTGTGCCTCAGAAGCCATTGCATGGGAGCCTGCACTTTACACACTATTCTTCCCTAGGCCTCAGCCGGACCATCCTCATGTGCGGGCCTCTCATCAAGGAGGAGACTCACAGGGTTAGTGGAGCCTGCTCCCTGTGGAGACCGGGGAAGGGCTGCTACTCTGTACGCGCTGGGGGGTGTGCCTCAGAGGTGGGTCCATTCAGACCTGGAAGTAGGCTCTGGAGAAGTGTTGGGTGGTCTTGGGGATGTTTCCAGGTATGTTTTATCCTTTTCAGAGACTGCATGACCTGGTCCTACCCCTGGTCATGGGTGTACAGCAGGGTGAGGTCCTGGGCAGTTCCCCGTACACAAGCTCCCGCTGCCGCCGTGAGCTCTACTGCCTGCTGCTGGCGCTGCTGCTGGCCCCTTCTCCTCGCTGCCCACCTCCTCTTGCTTGTGCCCTGCAAGCCTTCTCCCTTGGCCAGCGAGAAGATAGCCTTGAGGTAACTGTGATGGGCCACGCCCCTCTGTGGTTCCTGGAGTCTCTTGTTTCCAAGAGCCAGTATTTCTGGTGCTCACACCTGCCCTTTTTTCTTCGCTTAGGTCTCCTCTTTCTGCTCAGAAGCACTGGTGACCTGTGCTGCTCTGACCCACCCCCGGGTTCCTCCTCTGCAGTCCATGGGCCCCACCTGCCCCACACCTGCTCCAGTTCCCCCTCCTGAGACCCCATCACCCTTCAGGGCCCCACCCTTCCATCCTCCAGGCCCCATGCCTTCAGTAGGCCCCATGCCCTCTGCAGGCCCCATGCCCTCAGCAGGCCCCATGCCTTCTGCAGGCCCCATGCCCTCTGCAGGCCCCATGCCCTCAGCAGGCCCTGTGTCCTCAGCACGCCCTGGACCCCCCACCACAGCCAACCACCTAGGCCTTTCTGTTCCAGGCCTAGTGTCTGTCCCTCCCCGGCTTCTTCCTGGCCCTGAGAACCACCGGGCAAGCTCAAATGAGGACCCCATCCTTGCCCCCAGTGGGACTCCCCCACCTGCTATACCCCCAGATGAAACTTTTGGGGGGAGAGTGCCCAGACCAGCCTTTGTCCACTATGATAAAGAAGAGGCATCTGATGTGGAGATCTCCCTGGAAAGTGACTCTGATGACAGCGTGGTGATTGTGCCCGAGGGGCTTCCTCCCCTGCCACCCCCACCACCCTCAGGTGCCACACCACCCCCTGTAGCCCCCTCTGGGCCACCAACAGCCTCCCCTCCTGTGCCAGCCAAGGAGGAGCCAGAAGAACTTCCTGCAGCCCCAGGGCCTCTCCCGCCACCCCCACCTCCGCCTCCGCCTGTTCCTGGTCCTGTGACGCTCCCTCCACCCCAGCTGGTTCCTGAAGGGACTCCTGGTGGGGGAGGACCCCCCGCCCTGGAAGAGGATTTGACAGTTATTAATATCAACAGCAGTGATGAAGAGGAGGAGGAAGAGGAAGAAGAGGAAGAAGAAGAGGAGGAAGAAGAGGAAGAGGAAGAAGATTTTGAAGAAGAGGAAGAGGATGAAGAGGAATATTTTGAAGAGGAGGAAGAGGAGGAAGAAGAGTTTGAGGAAGAATTTGAGGAAGAAGAAGGTGAGTTAGAGGAAGAAGAAGAGGAGGAGGATGAAGACGAGGAGGAAGAAGAATTGGAAGAGGTGGAAGAGCTAGAGTTTGGCACAGCAGGAGGGGAGGTAGAAGAAGGTGGACCTCCACCCCCGACCCTGCCTCCAGCTCTGCCTCCCCCTGAGTCTCCCCCAAAGGTGCAGCCTGAGCCAGAACCAGAACCAGGGCTGCTGTTAGAAGTGGAGGAGCCAGGGGCAGAGGAGGAGCATGAGGCTGACACAGCTCCCACCCTGGCCCCTGAAGTGCTCCCCTCCCAGGGGGAGGTGGAGAGGGACGGGGGCAGCCCCGCAGCAGGCCTACCTCCCCAGGAGCTTGTTGAAGAAGAGCCTTCTGCTCCCCCAACCCTGCTGGAAGAGGGGACTGAGGATGGGGGTGACAAGGTACAGCTCCCACCAGAGACATCTGCAGAAGAAGAGATGGAGACAGAGACAGAGGCCGAAGCTCTCCAGGAAAAGGTGAGAGGGCCAGGCAGGGAAGACTCCTCAGGTGAGGAGGAGGGGCTGGCATGAGAAGCGGGAGAAGGGGTTGCAGCCACTTAAGTTATGAGAGAGGTTTGTCCCAGCCTGCACCATTCTTGTGTGTGTGTGTGTGTGTGTGTGTGTGTGTGTGTCTTTTCTGAATCGTGTGTGTGTGTGTGTGTGTGTGTGTGTGTGTCTGTCCTTATTCGTGTGTGTGTGTGTGTGTGTGTGTGTGTGTGTGTCTTTTCTGAATCGTGTGTGTGTGTGTGTGTGTGTGTGTGTGTGTCTGTCTCTATATCTATTCTGAATCTTGTATCTTTGTGCCTAAAAGGAACAGGATGACACAGCTGCCATGCTGGCCGACTTCATTGATTGTCCCCCTGATGATGAGAAGCCACCGCCTGCCACAGAGCCTGATTCCTAGCCGTCTTCTGCACCCCTCCTTATTTCCAATAAAGTTATGTCCTTAGATAGCGACTGCTGCTTCTGCCTTTTGCCACACCTGGGTCCCCAACCAGAAGCTCGAGTGTCTGCTGGGCTTTTCATGCTATCCATAGTATTCCCCAAATGTCTCCATAGCTGTCCTTGTCAACGATCCAGAGAGGGGCCATAGACATGTGGGGGTAACGTACTGTCCTGTCACTCAGCACAGTGCTGTCAGAATTGTGGGATGGATGCTAAATATATGCAGGATTGTGTGTATAATTAAAAATGAGGAGTTAGAGACATGGCCCTACTTTTGTGTTTGTATTCGGGGTGGGAAATGTGTGGAGAATGTATAGGATTAAGTCTCCTAATGAGTGAACCTGTGTTAGCGTACACGTGCCTACATTCATGTATGCCTACTCAAACACATTCGGTCCCTTGGTCTGAAACAGCAGGTGGAGTGATTGCTTAGCCTGTGGAAGTTTGGAAAGTTAGGAAAAGGTGTAGAGGGGTTTAGTCATTGAATTCTGGGAAATTTGGACCTTGCCCCCAGTTAAAAGGCCATCCATAGTGGGTATGTTCGAGATGAGCTCTGTTTTGGGGCTGGTCCTCCTTATGACATTTCCCCCCACAGCTCCCTGGCAGGAGTTTGATAAGCTCACCCCAGCCTTCCTGCTCACTCTTGAGGCCTGGACATTCCCCACCCAGTGTCTGTTTTCTTTAAGCGCTGATCCCATTCTAGGCGTTGTTGGGGTGGTCGTGTGAACTTGAACTGAGAGATGTGTCTGCGAGAGGAAACCAAGATTTATGGGCTTGAAATAGGGGCCCATGATTTTTTTACTCAGTCAGTTGAATCTTGAACATAAGTAAAGTGCCTTGGAAATGCAGAAAGGGGAGTCATTTCTCCCAACATGTATCTTGAAGAGCCTCTGAGGAGGTGGCATTTAAGCTAACTTTTGGAAACTTCAGTAGGATTTTTAAAAGTTACCCCTCAACTTCTTATTGCAAAAAGTTTCAAACCAACAGAAAAGTTGTGAGAACAGTACAATAGATAACCTTTGCCTAGATTTGCCAATGAACATTTAGTCATGTTAACTTTTAACCCTATAAACTGTGTATCTACTTGTAGACATGTATCTTTATTATACCCATATGTCTGTGTAATCTATACATCTGCATTTCTTTTTTCATGGGACCATGTGAAGTTAAGTTGCAGACATCATGGCCCTTCCAATCCCAAATTCTTCAACATAAATTATCTTCTAGGATTAAGGATGTTTTTCTGCACAATCATGATACCATTATCAAACCTAAGAAAAATAACAGTAATCCAATGATATTGTGATACTAAAATTTTCCTATTAATCCCTAAAATGTCTTATAGCTTTTTTTTCCTCCTCTGAGTTCAAGAGGAGCTTCTTCTAGGTGGAGAAGGCCCTGGAAGGTTTGAGGATCACTGCAAGGACAAGGGTGCAGAAATGTGGAAACTGCAATAGTGGTTTTTCAAAAAGGGAAAGAACCTGATTTCTGTGGAAACTGGAGATAGGTAAAGTTGACATTGATTCTGGGGAAGCGGCTAGAACAGAATTTTTTCTAATTCAAATTGTATTCGTAATAGATAATACATTCACTTGGTTCAAAATTCAAGAGGTACAAAAGGTTTGTTGAAAAGTCTCACCCCTCTAGCCACCAAGATTTTTCTGCCTAGAGCGGCCAGTAATGATCAGTTTTTACAAGTTCTGGAGATGTTGTATGCATATACAAATATATATTATTATTTTTTATGCAAATGGTAGTATATTATCACTTAATATAAATCAGTTTCACTGTCATGGGGATTTATTCATTCAGCAGATGTTTATTAAATATCAATTATGTAGTAGGCACCAGCCAGGTGTGGTGGCTCATGCCTGTAATCCCAGCACTTTAGGAGGC